GATGGAGGAAAACAATGAAACAAAACAGGAAAAAATTTAAAAACTACCTCTTATCATCAGTTGTAGACCAGCCCTCTACTGGGATAGATAAGATGGTGCTACTCACACTGTAATCACTTTAGCACCTTGCCCAAAGTAGTAGGAATAGAGCTGTCTGATAAGGCATTCACTGTGAAGAAGGTCTCTGCTAGAAAGCCTCCAGTATCTGGTACATCAGAGTTGGAATCTTTGATGAGAGCTTTTGGTGACTATAGTGAAAATACTATAAATAAGTACTAGAACAACAACTATTGAGTGAAAAATTACACCAAAATGGTTGCTGTCAATTTTAAAATATATTTATATAAATCGTCCAAGAGCTACATTTTATTTTCCTTAACAGTGCTAGTTCACTTATTTAAATTTTCCTAGTCAAGTCCAGAATCTCTTGTAAATTTTACAATCATTCCAGTCATGAGAATTTCTTAACTGTTTACAGAAAGTCACTGTTGAAATCACATGGATGAATAAGAAGAAAATGAGTCTAACATATGCAGTAAGAAGATCATTGCAATGTACAAGTATTCCGGAGTCCTCTGACAAAATAATTTTGAAAAATCCTACAAATCATCGATCCTAATTGTATTCATGACAAACACATGTAAGAACTTGAAAAATATATACTCCAAAATATATTAGGTCTAAAGAGACTTACTTTCAGTGATTCTGTGGAAATGGGCATGTAAGTCCAATGGCTTACATCAGTAAGATGAAAATTTGTTAATGAGACTTAAAGAAACACTCCAAAGTATGAGGATCTGTATCTATTTCTACTTTCATTTACTTTACAATACAGCTACTGCTGTTTTCTTTTATCCATGCAATGTACTAAGGCATGAAAAATCAAACAAGCAAACCTCTTGCTTGCCTTTTCCCTATTATGAAGCCCTTTGTTTCTTTCTTTGACCCCCATAACCATGAGTTCGAGAATATTCTGTTAAATGTATATAATCTTATCAAACATATATTTCTTTATCAGTTCATGACCTGGTAGCCCTTCAGCTGTTTTGCTGACCTGATGGTCTCATTATTGCAAATAGCAAATGGAAGTGCCAGCTTAACTCCTGTTTTCTTTCATTCTCCTGTTTTATTCACATCCCTATCATTGTTTATCTAAATTAGCCCTATCTTTTGATATGGCTTTGCACATCAGCATTTTTCAGTATTTTTGCTCTTATGCTATGTATTTTTACAGAATGAATAACCTGGCTAGAGTAACATAGCAAGATGCTTTGTGTAATGGTTTGATACTGTGGTAGTGTATTTTCAGTTCCATTCCTTTTAACAACTTGACATTTCATTTCTTACTTGCTGGCTCTGCACATCGGGAGATGCTTTTCAGGGAATTGTTTCATGGTCTTTTCCTCAGGAAGAGTTCAAATTTCTCATGATAACTTACACTATCTTCTTCATTTGTCTTTTCTAAGGCCTCCACGTTAAACGTACTCATTGGAACGCAGGGCAGGAATCACCACGAAGACACTAGAGCAGATACTCATGTAGCACAGTGAAAGCTCCATGTAGAGCCATCAGTTTACACACAAGCCTTTTGTGCTAATGGCACAGACTAAACTAAGTAAGCTCAGCTGTTCCACTGCTCTCATAATGCTGTGCAGCTTTGAATGCCAGAGCAAGCTAAGTCAGAAGCGGACTGGGTTTTCTGGATCACGCTTCAGCACACAACGTGGCTATGCGTGGTCTTACCAGGGGCATGGCTGTCCTAAATTTTTTTATGTCATCTGCAAATGTAGTCTGTTATGGTATTTTGTTTTTCCACATTTCCTCTTCTAGAAAGTCAATTTTTTAAACTCCATGGATTTCCACACAGCCACAGGGAGAACTTTGCTTCTGCTAAAACATGCCATTTATCCAAAAGACCTTTTCTGTCTCTTAGATGCACAGAATCTGATAATGCTTCCCCCCAACAACATTTGTTTACTTTAGTAGTTTCTACTACACAGAAACACGGCTAAAGACTTTTTTTGACAGTTCAAATATGTTGTATTGATTAAGTCTCTCCCACTCTGTCAAGATTCTAATAGATTGACAATCTTTCTGTGCTGTTTTCTTGGACAAATGCCAGTTACCTTATTTCTAAAACTCTGCGTTCACAATTTTATGCCTTATGCTAAAGTTTCTCTCTGGCCTCAAGTTTACGAAATTTTCTACTACATTTTTTAAAAAAATGATAAACAGAACTTCTGATTTTCTACGGTCACTTGCTTTTGCTAAGAAATGAAAATAAAGAACAGCTAATCCCATCTTCTTCCTATTTATTTTAGCCAATTTTTTAACAGCATCCTCTTTTATGAAGCAATCTTGCACGCTTATTTCAAAAGGTTACCTGAAATGGGTAGCTTCTTATAAAAACACCTTTCTTTCTTTCTCCCTCCCTCCCTCCCTCCCTCCATCCCACCTTCCTCCTATAAAGAGTAATTCAAAGAAACTGCTTAGCCCCTCTGCAATGTTCTTCTTACTAAATGCAGATTGGGATATCCTCCAGTTCTCTCTCACGCTTCCTATACTTGACTTCTTAAAAATTGTCTCTATTCATTTGCATTCCTTTGGGTATTTGCCCTAAAGGGTCACTCATCTTTCTTATTTTCCATCCTGAAGCCTACCTACTAGAATAGCTCCCTTTTTCTGACCATTTCACTTGACTCTGTTTGCTTTTTTTTTCCAGTTTAAATAGCTTTTGTATCCTGTAATACACTTTTTCTTCTTTGCTACTGTTTCCTTTTTCACACAGACATTTTCTTACATGCTCTAACTTTTCATACAGCAATTTTGCTGAATATGAGGGTTCTGTTTCACACACTTTAGTCATTTCTTTGTAAAAAAATTGTCCAACTGACAAACTGTTTTTGATACTATCTTCTTTGCTACGAGACTGAATTCAAATTTTATTACAGCTGCAATTACTCAGTGGCTCAACTACAATTCCTTCCAAAACCAACTTCCCGTTACACATTCCTCTTGCCTTATTCACTGAACGCAGTATTATAAACGGCTTACTCACTGATACAACTGTTGGGCTCATTTTATTTTCTTTGCTCCTGTTATTTAGTATACAGTTTTAATCAAAAATTTTTCTAAAGAAAATATTCAGTAGGAGAAAATGAAACGAAGTATTACAAGGTTTTCTGGCAGTTTCTGGTTTGAGGGCCAAAGAATAAAAGCAGAATTAAACCTGGATTATGAGATGTAGATTATATCATTCATTTACACTGTTTACTTCCAACATTTTACCTCTATTTTTTTATGCCCCTCTGTCAGATAAAGGTAAAACATGAACCAAGGTCTATATATTATATATGCTCAATTAAACTACTTCTGTTAGCTGAACAAATTGAAATTCCTAAACTATGAATTAAATATATACATCGTTATTCATTGATGTCACTGGATATAATCATCACTATAACGCACATTGCATCAGAATTGTTATTGCTGTAAAATCTGAGTGTTTAAACTCCAGCAATAGATATGTAAGCAGTACTGCTAAATTACAGTTCAGTTCTGAAGAATATTTCTTAGATGTTAAGTGGTACAAGACCATCTAGAGAAAGTCAGAGACGTGAGTCCTTGTATCATAGCACAGTGAAATTTCACATTGGTCTTTAGAGAACAAGCAGATGACTGACACTTGAATGACTGAAATACCCACACAGAGCTAATTAAGAAGGAATAACTGAGTTGCTGGAGAAGGATCTGTAGCAAAGATCCTTCATACTCTAAAACTACCAGGGCAGCACCTTTCAGAAAAACTAAATGCTTTAGAAAAAATAAATATCATTCAGTGAGATTTTTTTTCCAGATCTACAGTCCTTCTATTGCTTTGTTAGTATTGTAATGTTAATGTCTTTGGCTTGCTTGGATGAGATAAACATCATAAACTCCTGAAGGCAAGGAGATCACAGTCTTTGATAAAATATAGACAGCTACTGAATAGAATGAAAAGACTTACTAGACCAATGTATTGCTCAAGAATTCTACATCTAGCTCAGACTCCAAATGAGTTACAAATGTCTTTCTGAGATCTATCACACTCTTTCATGTCAGCAAATCACAGTCAAAAGTTGACTAAAGAGATTTTGGAACAAGACAAGGCATGGAAGAATACTGACAAACACCAATATTATGTCAGTTGAAAGATGATCAGATGATCAGAAGGCAAACAACTTTTTCTTCTTCCTTCCAAACCCTTACTTCCAAACTAAATCAGAGAATGGCATAGGTTGGAAGGAACTTTAAAGACTATCTAGTTCCAACCCCTCTGCTATGGGTTGGGTTGCCAACTATTAGATCAAAGTCCCATCCAGCCTCGCCTTGAACACCTCCATGGGTGAGGCATCCACAGCACCATCTGAGCAATCTGTATCAGTGCCTCATCACTTTCTGAGTAAAGAATTTCTGCCTAATATCTCATCTATATTTTTCCACTCTTGGAGTTTAAAGCTACTCCCCCTTATCAATATCAGATCATGCAAGTAGTCTTCTGCTTATAAGCTTCCTTCAAGTACTGGAACAGTTACTTTAAAATAATTCTGAGGACACTGCTCAAAAATAAAAAGAAGTTCCTGGGCTGAAAAAAGAAATAAACAACAACTTGACTTAGTTTTCTTCTTTGAAAATGCCACCCTGGCAACATCTATATGTAAAAAATCTAATCATGAAGTAATTCAGGATCTGAAAACAAATTTGAGCAACTCCCTGACTGATCAGTTGATGCTTTTGATGTCGACAATCATGTCATACTAACAAGAATCAAGGTTTTGTCTTTTTAAAAAAAAAAACATTGAACAGCGCATTCTTCAGTGGTGCCTCAATCCAAGGGAAGCCACTTTCCCCTACTGCTTCTAAGATTGCATTGGTATTATTTTTACAGTGAATAGGAGAAAGAGCTAATTTTTATTCCCGCAAAGGGAACGCTTTCATACAGCCTTTCGAATAGTACTTACTCAAATACGGTGGTTTGTAAGGCGCTCGTGTATTAGACAGCAGTCCATCCAACTCCTTCCTCTCCAGAGTGTTGTGAAGAGACTTCTCTTTGCCGAAGGTGGAGAAGGACCTTTCTGCCCCCGGCTGGGCTTCTGGTGTTTCAAACACTTCAGTGTCTGGAACGGAGTCCATGCCAGGTACATGCAGATTGCTGCGGTAATCTGCAGCTTGGCGTCCGTCAGATGGGACAAAGGAAGGCATCCAGCACCGATCTGAGTGGCCCAGTGCTTTACATTCCTCTGTGCAATTGGAGAAGAGATCCATGCCTGAAAGCATGAGAAAAAATGAAACTACAGATACAAGCTTCAGCATCACGAACTGACAGCTGACAGACTTAAAAAAAAAAACTATGCTGAAAGGGATCTCATTAGAACTTCTACTACCTTCACCTCAAAAAATAAAATAGAAAAAATCTGAACGTCCAGTCTTCAGCATTCAACACCATTTAATAAGAATAAATAAATGCTAGAACGTCACACACACAGATGTGTCACAAGAAGAAAGGTACTGATGGATGTATCTTGCAAAATAACTTGTAGAACTTTCTGCTTAGAACTCACTTCATTGAAGATCAGTTCTACTTGCAGACAATGTCCGTGCTTCACCAGACATAAATACTTGTTTAAGAACAAGCGTTTAAGAGCAATTGAAGGAATTGTTTATGTACATAAACCTATCCCTGACCAAAGAAATTATATGACCTGATTGAGTAATCACAGATCTCGATTATGAAAATGAAGTATTGGTCTTATAAATTAATTATCTGTTAATACATGCATACAGACAGAACCTACTGCTATTAAAAGCAGATTTGCAGAGTTGGAATCCAGCCTGTAAGCAATCGAGATGGCTTACTAAATCAATCACTATGAGTTTTCATTGCTACAGCAAGTATCTTGTCATTCTTACTATCTTGTCATTCAAGTAAAGGGATGGAATCCTATGTTGAATTAGCAGTCTGAAGGTAGCTGTAGTGCAGTGCATCATAGCCATGGATACTACTGACAGAACAGTTAGTGCTTCCCTTATGTCAGCAAACACCTATCCCTGCCAACATAAAACTGTTTGCTTATAAATGCTTTAATGCCATTAAAATTTCATATGACAAGCAAATGCTTCCATTGACTACCTTAAGATGAGCAGTCCAAAAGAATATTTTGTGACAGTGATTCACTAAGCTGTTGGATTGTACTTGTTTTGAAAGGAACTGTGTAGGAAATCATAGGCATAAAGTAAAATAAGTATTAAGGTCTCCAAGTCATTGTTCAACATCACACAGAAAGGCAAAACAGTGAAGAAATGTCTCTTTCTTGAACTTAGAAAGATGTGTCTTAGAATGGGAGTACGTCAAGACTGAACTGAATTTGTTATAAGTATCACATTTACAAGCATTTCATTAGAATTACAAAAAAAGACTCAACTTGCAGGAGAAATAGGAAAAAAAAAAAAAAAGAAAAGCTTTAATAAGATTCATGCACTGTAGCTTGTTCACCAACCTACTCCAAAAAAAACTTGATTAGTTTGATCTCCCTTGTGAGGATTAGAGCATTAAGAATGCTACCACTGTTTTAAACTGTTGATTTGTTTTCTATTCGTAATACTATTTTGTTATCTCACAGTGAAGGAAACAAATTCTTCAGCAAGCAAGACCCCTTTTCAGCCACCAACCAGCGCTTGAGAAATAAAATCTGTCTTCTAGACAGACTAAAGAAAAAAGAAAGAAGAGGAAAAAAAGCTTTTTACCTCAGATTAAACTCACTGCATCAACTTCTTAATTTTAAATGAAGTGAAATACAATGTCAGGTCCTGTTTTGATTAGAAACTTGCACTATAATTGGCACGCAGAAGTCTGAAAATAGATTACTGATCAGTGAACTGCTGAAAAATGTAAACTTGAACTGCAGGTATGATTAAACAACCAGATGAAGATCATTATACAAGATGTAGAAACTGTATCGTTCTGCATTCTGTAATGGTAGTAGCTATCAAAGACTGAAAAGAGAGGTTCAGATGCACACTTCCTGGGAAGAAATGTGTATATAACCACATCTCTAAAAGCACGTGTGTTCATGTGTGTCTTATGTACAGAAGCATACAGAGAAAGATTTTTATTCAAATACAAGAAAAGACTTTATATTTTAAAATACTTCAAAAAACAAACTTTTTTGCTGTTCAGAACATTTTAGCAACACTAACTATAGCTAACACTAAAATGGGTCTTCTGATTTTTTCAGCCTACCTAGTAGTTACACATACACTAGAAATAGCTCTGGTTCTAAGAGAGAATTGATTACAATTACATTTTGCTAACAGTATATCACTGACCGTACCCACTCTGAACGAGCAAGGGAAATACAGAAAAAAAGAATGGATGAATGCTAAATTACTTGCTTACGTCAGTGGGGAGGAGATATTATGATAATACTGCCTTCAAGACATGTAGATAATTAGGGATAGAGCCTTTTTTTCTCTTCTTGAGGTTTTACTTCTCCTGAAAAATTACCCTCCATTTCACTGTTTTGTTTTCATGCCAGTTGCTAAATAGCAAAAATCCTCAACCCAAATGCTACTTTTTAGTTCGCTTTTGAACCCTGTTTGTCTATGACAGTGCACAGCATAGTATTATATAACAGCTTATAAAAGAGATGTTATAGCCTCCATAAATCAGGATTTTGAATAAATGAAGTAATGAATGTAGGGGATATAAAATGTAAGCTCAAAGTTTCCCTCTGCTGAAAGCAGATGAGAACTTTTGAAAGAAAATATATGTATAACACTCCCCCCCCCCAAATTTCTATTTCCACTAATACAGAGCTAGAAAGTAAATATTTGATAACAAATGTTCAAAGACGACTGGGTTGAATATTGCACTTTCTTGAATTAGTCACAACATTCCCTAAGAGGCTAATGGGTGCAGAACTAAGCAGTCAGTTTTGATTTTTTGAAAGAAAATAAATTCAGAATATCAGACTGATCCTGAAATCCCTTTACTGACTATGATATAGGTTATGCTTCCTCCACCTTCTTCCTGTGGGTCACAGTATAGAATTTTTTTTTTTTTTTTTAATTAAAAAAACATTTTTTAATAGGGTGGATGATGAGAGGGGAGGAAAAGCTGCTTGCTAAATTTGTAGAAGGAAGAATATAATGTGGTAAATTAATAAGACATACAGCATGGAACTCCCTTATACACCAAGAATCATATTTTTGATTCATAACAAAAAGGAATGTTCAGCAGGGTAATACTTCCACCTCATCTTTCTTATATATCTACTTACATATACGTTGTGTGAATTGAACTATTCATCACTATTTTAAATCCACATTAAAGGAAAATGCTTCATATTTTTCACTTAGTTGCATTAGACTTTTATCTGCATTAGACGTTGCATGCAGATAAACTGAGATTTTAAAGGTGACTCTGCAGTATGAATTTTAAATGTCCTTTGAAGATAAAAATAGATAGTATAGACTACTGAAGAGCTGAGAATTGATAAGCTTTGAGCTATTCCAAATACAGCATACATAAATATAAAAGCTCGTTGCAAAGGTGAACATTTGTCTAGATAGGTAGTGGGCAATACAAGCTTTTGCATAACATAAGTTTGCAGATTTTGAAGCCAAACAAGCCTCTGCCCTTCCCTCAAGGGAAACTAAAAAGAAAGAAAGGAGTTAAATACTAAGATTTATATCTGCATCTGAATTTCCTGAGCTCAGGTGCTTTGAATCCGATACTTGGCAGCGTTGCTTTTCTAAAGCATATTTCCAATTTGCTTCCTTTTCATATTTCTACAGAAGAAAAGCAAAATTTCTGTGTGCATGAATTCTAATTGATTTGAAAGATGATTTAAGATCAAAGTGAAAAGTAAGCCTACAACCACTTTTAAATAATTTATTTTTTCTTAATTTAAGTAAAGGAGAAAAGCCACATACCAAGCCTTTAGAGAAATGAGTGAACACGTTCATATATACATTACTGAGTAACTGATATAATCAAAAGAAAAAAAAAGAAAAAAATGTAAATTAAATGTTGACAAAATGTTTTTGTAGTTTTGTTATTGAGAGGCTTTTCACAAAGTTTGTCTTTTTTTTTTCCCAGCTCATAAATGTGTCTTTTCTGCAGAACTGAATGGCATTTGTTGCTTCTTCAGCTTTTTGAACGTTATTTGGGAGGTAGGTGTGATATAGGGAAACTCTTTGAAACTCCATTAGCAGATCAGATACCTGTTTGGTTGGATTATCACTGAGCAAGTTACTAATTTATCTGTGAGTCATGTTTTCATGCCTGTAAATAAGGATAATTATTTTAACCTTCTTTGTGGAAGACTCTCTCTACTGAAGAAGCTGACTTCATGAAACACAGTTATTATCATTCTTACTTGTTAAGTAATTGGTGCTCTGCCTTGGATAAAAATGACTTCATCTGCATGAGAACATGAAAAAAAGACTTAAAGACCTTCGATAGTCAGCTCTTCCAAATCCCAACTTCAAAGCCCTGTCTGGACCATTGAGATGTGAACGTTACTAAGTATGAAACACGAAGAAAGAAGAAAAAAAGAAACAAAACAAAACAAAACAAAAAAACCCCTCACCTCAGTTCAAGTCCGAGCACTTTTCTAAGCCATCTTAATGTTTAACGTTCAACTCTCACCTTATCCAAGACAGACTGTTAGCCCAAGTGATCTTCAAAACAGGATTTACCTGTCACTCTGAACAGACTTCGAAGGAATGCTGGTCTTGTCTGTCCCTTTACCACCAAAATTCTCATTTAGATTTCTCAAGTTCTTGTCTCCGTGAAAACTGAAATACCATAGCTATTCTACATCCTAGCAGTAATGCCTAGTAACCCTCCTGAGGTTTACTAAGTCTAGACAGAAAAGGTGTGAGGTAAAGTTTCACTCTGTGCCCTTGCATTAGACCCCTAACAATTCCCTTCATAAAGTTCAACAATAGAAATCTGATTTCAGATCTCAGGTAATCACCAACATATACTGGCCATGCAGCACAATCTACTGAGTAGATAGATGGTAAAAAAAAAAAAAAGTTGATGCATTTCGTAATACATAGCATTCATGTATTTATCTTCTCATCTTGGATATTCCTTCCTGAAGTACACCTCAGAGATCATGCCTATTCAGTGAAAAAAGGGAAATGAAGGAAATACTGTAAAGAACTCTGCATGTCTGATGTGAGAAAGCTGAGTAGCTAGTGACCAACCAAACGAAATAAATTGATGGCAAAAGTCCAGGTCTTACAGGACAGGTGTCTAATCACACAATTTAAACATACACACACACACAGAGTACTAATTGGCACCCAAGTCAGCAATTTCACATGGGAGGCCAAGAATTTAATCAACCATGGGAAATAAACTAACCTCAAGCTTAGAAATGACTCCTACACAACATGATTGAAATACTGCATGTTAATAATAGGTAGTAGTGTTGCATTAGTTGCATTTGTTCCACAACAAAACAACTGCTTTTGTCTCAACAATTTTCAGTTAGAGAATAAGAGCACATGTAATTAGCACACTCATTTGGGGTTAGAGAAACCTTCACTCCAGTAGCCAAAACTTATTGCATGACCCTAGGAAAGCCATTTTTTTTCCCCAAGAAGCTCAGATCCTTACCCTACCTAAATGAAATGATTATTCAAACCAGAAAAATTAGGTTCTTGGAACAGTTTTGAGTATCCCACTATATGGCATTCTCTGCTAATCACAGGTGACAGTTGTTTCCTAGTTCATGGATATGAAGGTAGCTAAGAATGTAGATAATAACAATGCATTCAAGTGCTACCTTGATGGGAACAGTATGAATCCCTTACAGGCATTCAGAACATTTAAAATCATGATTAAATCACTATCAAGAACACATACTCTGCCAAAAGGTGATCTAGAATCTTATTTCAAAACATAATAGGGCATTTTATGACACAGAGATCAGCTTAGTGCAGGATTTTTGTCGATAATTTTGTAAGAGTCATCTATGACACTGTGATAGATTCCCATCCTGCATGTTTACCTTCCCAACTAATAATTCATCACGCCTTTGGCAGTCAGCTTGCCTAGCAATGGACTACTATGGAATAGAGCTATGTGTATGCCACAGGACTGTCCATTAGTAGCAGTAACAGAAGCAGTGCACGGGAGGTGGAAAGTTTATTTTGCGATTAAAACATTGCTGAATAAAAATTAGTAGGAAGTTATATTGTTTGATGGGTCTTGTCAACTAAACATTTTCAGATAAGAACATACACTGCTTTTGGAAACAAATACTGTTCTGCATGGCATTAAGAAATGTATTTTAAAAAATTGTCAACAACTGTGTTTTCTTTTCATAATTTAGATAAAATTGATCGCACAGCAATGACTGGAAAACTGAGAAGGGATTCCCTCAGACACTTTCTCTAGACATTCAAGATCAAACAAGATTTATGTTTTTTTGGTTTTTTTTTTAATAACATTAATCGCTAAAAGCTAATAGCACAAGTAAAGACTTGATATCAAAATATGTTGCCATCACGTATGTCAAAGGGCACCTTCTTTGAATCATGGCAGCACAGTTCAGCCCAAACCTTACAGAAAGACTGTATCACACATTGGTAGAAAGTAAGAGCAGTTTCTTCAGATGGTTGTATTTAAATATTTACTTGGAACCAGCATTCTAAAAATTGCTCATGCTAATTATTCCAAAAGCACAGCACCAATATATTAAATTGGAAATTCTGTGTATTTGAGGTTTCAGTTAAAACTATTAATTGTGAGCAGCCTAAGACTGTCAGCTTTCATTACTTCATATGTATTCATCATTTAAGTTACAGTTCATAAATCACACCATAATCTTAAATGATTTGAAGTTATTTTGCAAATACAGGTTTTTTCTCCCTATTTAGTTAAATGGGAATAATAAAAATAAGGAATTCAGCCTTTTAGGAAATAAATGTCAAGTCTGACAGTAGTTGCAGGGTTCATAGCTGAGACAGACTACTTGCAAAATTGGAAGAAAGAATAAAGAGCAGAGGCACGACAATAACAGTACTGGATGCAACTAAAAGAAAATAGCTTTCAGTTGATGTGCAACTGTATGATTATATTCCCACCATCAGTCAAATCCAATCCCTTCTGCAGATGTTTGTACTTTTCTCTCCTGTTTGGCTATTATGGTTCATTATGTTGAGGGACTAAACTGATTGAAATTTTCATTGAGATGACTGCTGCAGTAAAATGCGTAAAAGGAAAAAGAAATGGAATGCAGGGAGGGCAGGAGGAGAGGGAGTTTTTTTTTTTATCACGCAGTAGCTGGTTGCTGTATCAGAAACAGTGCAAAAGAATGGGTGGGGAAGGCTAAATGCATGGCTTTTTAAGACAACAATAAATCATACGCCATAGATAGGCCAAAAATGAAAGAGGCTCTGTGTTCAGATGTAAACTTCTGGCAAGACATGGTTTGTTGTCAGGTTCCCAGACACAAAATAGGCACTCTGTTCATTTAGCATGAAGCCCTGCAAGAAGCAGGGAGCTCCGGAGACTCTTGGCTCTTCTCAGTCTCATTAGGTCTGCATATTAATGACTTGCAGCAATATAAAGGGGCCCTGTAGCAGCCTCCCTTTCCCCCTGGTTCCTGGGTTTCCCATCATTAAGGGAACAGTGACTATAGCAGAAGGAAAATAGAGGATACTAACATGCAGGAGATGCTGCACTGCTATGACAGCACTGAGTTCCTCGCTCTGAAATCTTTTAAGACAGGGGTCAGGAAAAAAAAAAACAAAAACAACACACTACCAACAACAACAACAAATAAAAACAGGAAAACTGGAGGAACTCAGGCAGTATTTTGTATGACATACTGGTAGCAAATCCTGATACATGACAGAGAATAGAAGAAACAAGGGGAAAGAATCACTGTGTTGAATCACTGAATCAAGACATACCAGACCTTTGGAAGCTACAATAGAGAGGAAAGGAAAAGCATTTCTGGCTAAAATGCAGTATGAGGGCAAGAATGAATTCCAGTGCATAGAATCTAAACAAAAAATGTCCCTTTCAAAGGAATCTGACAGCAAGAGAGCAAAGACAGCAAGCTATACACATAGGAATAGCACTGCAATGCATACAGTTCCTAAATGATTCAAATCACAGCTATATCATTATCTCTTAAAGCATTTATTTCCTTTGTTTGGGTTGAAAGAAATGTATTTAAGAATACCCTGGCCTTATTAGCATGGAGATCACTTATATTATACGGTTCATTAATTTGAATTAAAAAACAGTCCTCTAAAAATGCTAAAGTATTACACATTCAGAACACCCAATGCGTCTCCAGCCTCTCTGAGCAAAAATCCTCAGAGTCTGGCTGTCATTCAGTCAGCTGGTTCATTCTTTCCCCTGGGAACTCCCCTTGCACTTCACGCTGCCATGCCAGCTGAAGTGCCTACTAAACAGAGTTGCCTAGTGCATTGAAATCTACAGTTGGGGGGGGGGGGGGGAAACAAACCCAAAACAAAATGTACAAGAACTTTGGTTTTACTTGCAAGAAGTTTTGCTACAGCCAGTGACGTAGAATGACACACCCCAAACCTCCAAGATCAAATGAATTAAGTTCTGCCCCTTGAATACACAGTGTTCAAAATTGTCTCCTTGTTTAGATCACCATAATGGCAAGCTGACCTCAACCCAGCCTTCCATGCAATATGCTTATGTGATTTTGTGCCACTCACATTTTACATTCCCACAGGTAACTCTTCCTTCTAGTCTCCCTACTTACAGATTGACTGTTTCCACTTTCTTATCAGACTTACCAGAGGATTGACCTCGATTAGTGGCATCATGATCACTGTCTCCTTGCTCACTGTCTCCATGACCACTGTCCTTAGAGCTTACTATGTCTGCTTCCTGGAATGCAGAACTAGACACAGAAACATCTTTACATTAGAATAAACATTAAAGAGGAACTCATAAAACATTCTTCTGCCATCACATGGCCAAACAAGGTGCTGCAGTCACTCACCCCTGCCTTGTACCTCTGCAGAGCAGCACAGCTCTGCCCATCATGAACAAAACTTGCCTTTTCAGACATAGGTAGCCTAGCCCAAACAGCCAGCAGGCATTGCCACTCTGTCTGTTTTTCATGTAATTGCTATAAATTGGGCATTACTGATGTAAGCTGGATGGCAAAACTTTGACTTAGAGAGGCCAATGTTGTAAGGAAGACTCTATGGAAGGATTAATAAGTATTTAAAGGATGTTTTAGACTAATAAAACATGAGATTTTGTTTTCTTTTCAGATGACTTTGAGACCAATTCAAAAAAGCAGTAATTCATACTCATTTACTTGACAGCGTTTTATTTCATATGTCTACATACATCCATTTTCCCACTGCTTTGCTACTGTTTTACATCTGCAGTGAACACATTTCTGCATCCCATTCACACTTGCTAAAGCATGCATTATGAAAACATGACTAAGGAGCTCATACCTGTTTACCCGTCGGGGTCTGTCAACTAGATAACTGAGCTCAGCACGCTGATGTTTCGTCTAGGAGAAAAAAATATATGGAGAAATATTTGAACACTTGGTATTTCTGTAACCAACATCAGAAAATGCACAAGAGCAGCTCTTCATATTCACTGCAAATGGTAATGTTTAACTGCAAGTAGGCCTACACAGTCTATTTCTGGGATGTATGAAGAAATAAAAACAGCCAAATAATCTTCTTCACACATATGGGAAAGCGTGAGGGATTTTTTCCCCCCAAGTTCTTTGGGATGAGATTCTGACACGTTTTCTCACAGTGCATGCTGTCAAGCATCACAAGGACTCCCACAAAAATCAGCCAAACTATTTCTAGAGTTGTGTACCACTTGCTCTGAGACAAAACTTATTGTAATCTGGTTTTCAGCCCGTTTTCAATTCTAGAACATAAAAATAGGGAGAGACAGTATCATTACTGCACAGTAAGGAAGAAAATACATCAAGACAGCCTTGACTCCTCGGAACGGCAACAGAAGGAAGAGCTTTACAGACATTTTGAGGGAAAGTCAATGTTAAAAGCCAATATGAGACACTGCACTGCAGAACTTATCCAGCTTTAGAAAATATCATGCAAACCACGTCAGCCAGCCTGGACAGAGTTCAGGTTTCAGTATTCACATTAAGAGAGTTTTGTTTCCTGCAGCACACAAGCAGAGAGCCACCAATAGCATGTAGGAGCTAACACAGAGAAACGATTAACAGGAGAGCATTATGACAGCCATACGCTGGGACAGAAATTCTCTACACACTGGGCAACACAACACAGACAACGTGTTTAACGAGAGGAAACTGTAAATCTCTGCGTATGATTTCACGGCAAGTCTTTCACGATGCTTTTCTTTGCAAACAAGGCTTTCAGTTACAAAGCCAGGGAGGAAAGAAGAGTCAATTAATAGGCCCTAATTCACACATTAATTAAAGCTCCTGCTAACTGCAGAGATTTTCACTCTCCCAGAAGGGGGTTCCCCCGTAGCCTTTCTCACACATGCTAAGGTTCCAGGGGGGAGTGTTGGGGGAGGAGACGTGGGAGGAAAGCGCAGTTTTAAGAAACTCAGAAGCGCTTGCAGCCAATGGCTCGGAGAGCCCCAGCGCTGCTCTACAGGGGCGGGGGCCGGCCCGACCGAGTCGCCCTTCGGTGCGGGGACTCCCGGCCCTCACGCCTCCCTCTCCTGCAGCCGGCAGGTGAACGGGGAGGCGGGCGAAGCGCCTTCCCCGCCGGGCAGCGGCTTCGTTGGCCGACGCGGGAGCGCAGCGGCGCGGGGCAGCGGTGCGGCCGGCGCCCGAGGGTCCCCCAACGGCCGCCAAGGGCCCGGCGCGCGGCCCGGCCTTACCTCGCTGGACAGGATGCTGCCGTTGGAGATGATGTCGGGCTGCTGGTCGGCGTAGCCGGTCACGATGGCCCCGCAAGGGTTGTGTTCGGCGTCGGTGCTGCGGGAGGGGCTGCAGGGTTTGAGGAACATCAGGTCGGTCTTGGCGGACTCGGGAGTGAGGCAGACTTGGTAGCAGTAGTTCTGGTTGTGGTGGTGGGAGCCGAAGCTGCCCGACTCCTCCACCGGCACCTGCGCCGGGTTGCTGGGCGCGTTGGAGCTCTGCACCAGCATGATGTCCGACTTGCTGAGTTTCTTCTTGCGGGCTCGCGCTTGGCGGCTGCAGCAGGGGCAGCAGCAGCAGCAGCCCAGGCAGCAGTCGCTGGCCAGGCAGGTGTAGATGTTGAGCTTCTTCTCCTTTTGGCAGCGCACGGCCAGCACGATCATGGCCAGCAGGAAGATGAAGGAGACGGAGCCCAGGGCGATGATGAGGATGAGGGTGAGGTCGAGCGAAGTGTCTCCCCCGGAGCGGCTGGGCCGATGCTCTCCGCCGCCTCCGCCGCCCCCCGCGCCCACCCCCGCGCCCAGCGCTCCGCCGCCGCCGCCGCCGCCGCCGCCGGGCCGCTCGGCCGCGCCGTCCACCAGCACCACCTGGATGGCGGCGGTGGAGGAGAGTGGCGGCTGCCCGTGGTCGCGCACTTCGACCACCAGCTCGTAGGGCCGCTGAGGGTCGCGCTTGGCCGGCACTCTGCGCGCCGTCCGCAGCTCGCCCGTTCGCCAGTCCATGCGGAAGAGGCTGGCCTCGTTGCCCCGCACGATGCTGTAGGTGAGGCGGGCGTTGTCGCCGTCGTCGGCGTCCACCGCCGCCACGCGGCTGACCAGATAGCCCGGCTCGGCGCCGCGCGGCAGCACCTCCCGCGCCGGGGTGCCGTTGCGGCCGGGCAGCGGGCTGACGATGGCGGGAGCGTTGTCGTTCTGGTCCACGACGATGATATTGACGGTGGCGTTGCCGGCCAGCGGCTGCGGTTCCTCTCCGGCGTCGCGAGCCTCCACCTGGAAGCTGAACTCCTTGAGCTGCTCGTAGTCGAAGGAGCGGAGCGCGTAGAGGAAGCCGTTCTCGGAGTTGATGGAGACGTAGGTGAAGACGGACATGCCCTGGATCTGACTCTCAAGGATAGAGTAGGCGAGCTGGGCGTTGGCGCCCTGGTCCCGGTCGGTGGCGCTGACGGCGTAGATGTAGGCGCCGGGCACGTTGTTCTCGCTCACGTACACCTGGTAGACGGGCTGGCTGAAGCGCGGAGCGTTGTCGTTCACGTCGCTCACCCGCACCTGGATGGACTTGCTGGTGCTGAGCGGCGGCTCGCCGCGGTCCCGAGCCACTACGGTCAGCGTGTAGGCGTCGCCGCCCGGCTGCTCGCGGTCCAGCGGCCCCTCGGTGACGATGGTGTAGTAGTTTTTGAACGAGCTCTTGAGGCGGAAGGGCGCGTCGCCCTGCAGCAGCTCGCACTGTACCTGCCCGTTCTCCTCCGAGTCGCGGTCCGAGACGCTGAAGAGGGCCACCACGGTGCCCGGCGCCGCCGCTTCGCTCACCGCCTCCTTCACGGTGGAGAAGCTGATCTCGGGCGCGTTGTCGTTGGCGTCCAGCACCCGCACCAGCACCTTACAGTGCGCCGGCACGGCGTTGGGCCCCAGGTCCTTCGCTTGCACGTACACCTGGTACACGCTGCTCTCCTCGTAGTCCAGCTCGCCGCTCACCTCCAGGCGCCCGGTGCGCGGCGCGATGCCGAAGAGCTCCCGTGCGCGGGCCGATATGTGGCTGCTGAAGGAGTAGATGACCTCGCCGTTCTGCCCCTCGTCGGGGTCGCTGGCGTTGAGCTGCAGCACCAGCGTGCCCGGCGGCGAATTCTCCGGCAGCGATACGGTGTAGACGGGCTGCTCGAAGGCGGGGACGTTGTCGTTGGAGTCCAGCACCCTGATGGTGAGCAGGGCGGTACCGGTACGCTGCTGGGGCTGCCCGCCGTCCACCGCAGTCAGCACGTAGCGGTGCACCGCCTGCTGCTCGCGGTCCAGCGGCTTGTCCAGCACCAGCTCGGCGAAGCGGTTGCCGTCGCCCTGCGTCTGCACGTCGAGTGAAAAGTAGCTGTTGGGAGTGATCTCGTAGGTGCGCAGAGAGTTGGTGCCCACGTCGGGGTCGAAGGCGCTCTCCAGGGGGAAGCGGGTGCCCGGCGTGGCGCTCTCCGAGATCTCCACGGTGAGGTCGGGTTCGGGGAAGGAGGGTGGGTTGTCGTTGATGTCCAGCACCTCGATCTCCACCCGGAACAGCTCGAGGGGGTTCTCCAGGAAGACCTCCAGGTGCAGCAGGCAGGAGGGGCTCTGCTTGCAGATCTGCTCGCGGTCGATCTTCTCGTTCACGTAGAGCACCCCGGTTTCCAGGTTGAGTTCCAAGTAAGGGCTGCGGGAGTTGGACGCCGTCTGAAAGCGGCGAGCCGAAAGTTTTGTAATGTCCAAGCCCAGGTCTTCGGCGATATTCCCCACGAACGTGCCATGCTCCTGTTCTTCCTGCACCGTGTAATGGAGCTGGCCGAGGGCCCCCTCCAGCATCCAGAGCGAGGCAAAGAGGAATAGCACGATCATCTCCAACAGGGAAAGAGATCCCCCCTCCCCAACGCCACCTCTTCTTCCTTTTCCAAAAGCCTCCACCACCTCCTCCTCCGAAAGCACACAGCACAGTGCGTGCGCCTGTGTGTGGATGTGTGTGCGCGACTCTGTGTGTGCGTGTGTGTGTGTGTGTGTCCGCGCCTGCGAGCGTGTGGCGAGAGAAGGAGCGGGGAGGGGGAAGGAAGGGGGGCTCCGGCTTAGGGGGGGGGGGGGGGAGTGCGCTAGGTATTATTTCTTCTGAATCATGTCAAGATTTTTTTCACCCCCATCTCCCTCCTATTTGTTACGAGTATTATTGTTTCACACGCTGACCAAATGAAGAAGAAGGGCGTCCCCACTTCATCTGTGATCTTCGAAATCAATGGCCAACTAATAATAGCTATTAGCTGCCCGCATCTACAGACACACAGTAGCCCGCTTTTATTTATTCCGAGAGTCTTGGCACTGCACCGCGGCAGCAACAGCGGCGGCAGCAGCAGCAAATCCCAGGGAAGAAATTTTTGTATTTCAGGATTGTCCTCGGTTTGTCTTCCTGGTGGGAGCCGGAGGGGGAGAAGCTGCTGGCGGAGCCGGTGGACATGCCCTCTTCGGAGGCGAGAAAAAGGCAGAAAATCGCGAAATTTAAAAAAAAAAAAAAAAAAAAAAAAAAAATTAGAACCCGCAAAAACGTTTCATATAAAAAACGGCAAAGAACAGCTTCTCTACCCAAACTTTCATTCCCTGATTTCTCTGGGATTTCCTCTTTTTATGTCAAGATCTTAGATTTTTCTCTCTTCTATCAACAGTCTTTCGTTTTCTTCTTTTATTGCTATTATTACGTTCATCATCATCACGCTGCGTTTTATGGACGTGCCGATCAGTTTTGCTTTTTTTTTTTTTCTCTCTCCTCTTGCTGGTTTTGCGCCTAACCCCTCTCTTTGCTTGCTGCTGCTGCTGCTGCTGCTGCTGCTGCTGCTGCTGCTGCCGCTCTCCTCCCGTCCCGGCTCCAGCCCGGCTCCGCTCCTCTGATCTCTGCCGGCAGTTTCTGAGCTCGGAGCGCTCGGCTTTGCTGTTTTTGCGCAGCGCTCGGCTCCTGCCAACCAATCGGCTGGCAGCAACGCCCCCGGGGGCGGCACCCTATTGGCCGCGCCGCACGTCAGGTTGGCTGCATCAGAGGCGGGTAGGCAGGCAGGCGAAGCAGCGCAGGCAGTGCGGGCAGGCAAAGCGGGCAGCGTAGGCAGGCAGGCAGGGGAGACAGGGCGGGCAGCGCGGGCGGATGGACGAGCAGGCAAGCAGACAGCTATCTACCTACCTACCTGCCTATCTATGTAACCAGGCAGCTATTCACCTGGCGCAGTAAGGGAAATCACTGCTCGTCATCAGCGCGCACGCACGGCTAATGATAAACAGCCATCTCCTTAGAGAGGGAGTTTCCACCAGCCACCAACTTTCCTTTCCGAGCGCGGCAGCGTTGTTAGGAAAACCGTAAACAAAGGGAAACTTGAGAAAATGCCTCCCCCTCTCCCCTCCCCTTGGGCTGCCTTAGCTAATTAGTTTGTGTAACAGTGGAGAAAGCGCGACTTTCCTTCCATCCGCGCTGTATTTCCAGCTCCGTCCAATCCCAGGTGCCACGGCCCCGTGCCTTTTTCCCCCGCTTTATCTGTGGAATTTCCCCTCGCGGAACAGAAACGGGTGCGGGTGGGATGGAAAGGAGCCCCGTGCCTCACGGGGAAAGGGCAGCGCCTCGCTCTGTGTGTGCTCGGTAGGGCAGCGAGAGGCGGCGAACCGAGAGCCGCGATTTGCTCGTTTCCCAGCGAGTGGCTCCATTCCGGGCAGCGCTGTCCGCGGCGTTCCCTGTGCCGCTGCGTGGATTCCGCCGAGGGCTCTGGACAGGAACGCTCCGGTGCTGCGCTCCGCGGCTCAAAGCCCTCCTCGTGGCACCCAGACAGCGCCAAATAAAGTCACTCCTTCCACCCGAGGCTGTCCGGGTTCGGGCAGAGGGCAGGAGGCAGAGCCCCGGTGCTGATGTCCCTGACGGGTTCCGTTACGGTCCGGACCGTGCGTTACCTCAAGTTACATCCTGTAACGTTACAAAAAAAAAAAAAAAAAAAAAAAAAAAAAAGAGAACAGAATATTACATGTAATTCTCCCCTCCAATAAATGTTTTATTGTTTCTAAAGGACATCACTCAGAGCGGTGACCCCGATCCAGCCGGGGCAGCGAGCGCTCTCCGCGCACACTGCGCTGCTCTCCGCACTTTCCGTTGCGGTCGCACAGCAACGCGTCACTCCCCGCACAGCAGACGCATCCCCGCGGCCCTGGGGAGCGATGGGGCCGCGTGGAAGCGAACCGCGGGCAGAGCAGCCGCCGGCAGCTGCGTGACCCCGGCGTCACGCTCGGCGCGGGGACGCGGCGGTTGGCAGCGGGACGCGCGGGGCGATGACAGCCGCTCACGGCCTCCGGGATCCCGCGGGGCACAGCGCGTTGGGGGCGGAGGGCTCCGCGTCCTGCGCGACGGCCGTTGGCGGAGCCCTCCCAGCGGCCAGCGGCCACCCCCGCGCCGCCGCCGGCCCGGCCGCAATCGCGGGCGTCGGGTGCCCCCCAGCGGCGGCAGCGCCGCACTGCGCCTCCCAGCCCCGCCCGCCGGCCCCGCGGGGGGAAGCGGGGTGCCCGGCCTTTCGCTCCCCGCGGCGCTTCGCCCCGTCCCCTCCCTGCCCGCTGCGGGCGGGGGCGCACGTCGCTCTGCCGACAGTCAGGAGCTGCCCGGCGCTGGCTGCTACTCCAGGCCCGCGGTGGCGAAGGAGACGCGTGAAGCGGGTGCGGAAAGGCAGCGGCCGGGAGCGGGGAACCGTCGGTGCGCTGCGCTCCCGAGCGCCACGCTGCCCCCGCAACCCCGGCCGGCGTTTGCCGTACATCGGCTTTCCTCGGGAAAAGCCGGCGGCCGCGGGCGGGAGGTGCGGGGCCGCCGCTCAACAGCCGCAGACGGGGGAGCGGCTCGGAGCCCTTGGCACACTGCGGCCGGGCGTCACTCACGCTTGGGGCGGGGGCGACGGGACTCGACCGGCAGCGGCCGTCGAGGAAATCGGGACCGAGGTGAGGGCGGCCGGCAGGGCACGATGCTCGGATCAGATAGATGCATATCTATGCCTCTATGCGCGGTGCGAACAGCCCCGCTCCCGCCGTCCCCAGCTGGCGCTGCCGCGGGGCTCCGGCTGCGGCCGCAGCTCGGCGCTCAGACCCCCGCCCGCTCCCCGGGCGCCTCCATTTTGTGGGTGCGCTCCTCTGCCGCTCGTCGGGCCGCGCCGTGTTAAACCCCGAGCGGTGAATTAAAAGCGCCGCTGATCTGAGGCAGCCCTCTAATGCGGAATGACAAATTGCATTTGGGCGATAACATGAACGAGAAAATGATTTATGGATTTTTGCGACGGTCTGAGCAAATGAAGGCGACGTGAATTATACATCCTAATGTGCAGTATATCATTTTCTAATAACACTGCTTTAGTTCTAATGCTCTACGCCGCTCTCTTCAATAGGGGTATTGATTAAATGAAAATTCAGAGGGCTATCTTTAAACTGGGTGCATATCTGCTGCAGGCACCGGCCGAGGTTTGTGTGCTTACCCATCGCTAACACAGACGGCTGCCACCGGACCTCTGGCACCGCTGCTTTCAGCTTTTCTATCTGTCATCGTTTAATTTGGCAGTTACTTCATCAAATGAAGAGAGATCTCTCGTATCGCCACGCTTCACCCCGTGCTGAGGTCCAGAGATGTAAATAGATGGCATCAGGTTTGTATACCCGTGGTGCAGGCAGGGATGGTAGCACCTTAGGAAGCCCTGCTCTCTGCCAGCATCCTCAGGTGCCTCCTTGGCACTCCAATGGCAGTGGCTGCCAGGGGGGGCATTTTTCTCGTGGAGAACATACAATAAATAATGCTCTTGCTCAACCAGGACTTTGCTAGCATCTCTTTTTACTGTATTGCACTGAATTTCTTAAACAGAAGAAACTTCTCGTTTAACTCATGCACAGTGGGAGTAAAGCAGCTTGAAAAGATGAGTGCATGTGCACAAGGGGTGAGAATAGCTGTCACTCATGAGGTGGCTGAGCCCCAGATTCAGCTTCATTACAGTGCCCCAAGCCCAAGGCTTCCAGCCTCACAGCCACATTCTCTTGCCCTTCAACACAGGGCAGTGATTGATGAAGTCATAGCGACATGAGCAATGAATATTCCCAATTATTTCAGTGGTCCCTAGGCTAAAATCTTGACACTAAGGACAAGCAAAACCTGCACTCGTTTGAATTGGTTTAAAACAGAGAGGGGGAAGATGAGGTAGAGGATTTTTGCACTCGTTTTGGGGTTAACTGATTATTTTTCATTACCCAATTACAGTATTTCAGTTGTTTTAGAACAAAAAGAGTCACATAGGTCAGAAATGCCCAAGTGCTGTATTTTGCATTGAGCAAATGCTTTCCTAACGTGGTTTGCAGAATAGAATGCAGCTCCCAACTGTTTATTTCAGTTATCAAAATGAAGTTTGGGTATTGGCCTTTGTCTGAGAAACACTGTGGCCTCCTTACTGTCTCTGTGTTAAAAACACTGAGAATGGTGGATTTTCCCCCCTCTTCTCTCCTCTACCCCTAATCTTAGATTGCTATTGCTTTGTGTAATTTTAGTTACCTGGGTTTTAAAAAATATATACAAACTCTACCCAGGACCCCTTTGAGACAATAACAGCTCTTAGTGCCAGAAAGATTACTGGAATCAATGATGTGATTAGGACTGTAAATAAGATCTAAAAGATGTCACCATTAGAAAAAGCCTGCTCTGCTAACTGGAAGATGTGTATGTGTTACTGAAAGGGCCATAGGATGAAAATCCTGCTTCAAACAGAGGTCGATACTGCACAATTTCAGAAATTAACTAAGAGGCCTGATTAAGGTTATTTGTGTCAGAGGGAAAGGTTCACTGCCACCACTCCCTCAATGGATTTCTTTCT